CGATACGACATGGAGTCTATAATGCCAATATTGGTGAGCGATCATCATGATATAGCGTCAGAAACTGCAGTATAACCTGACCACGAGGACGCTTCACAAATGCACATTCTACCCCATCACAAGCCCCCACCGTGAAGAGCAGGATACTTCACCATTCTAGCCACCTTCACTGCAGTCTATCATCAACCAATGTCTACTTCACAGCAGCATCTCGAACGACTCGACGACGACTCCCAGCATCTTGATCTTGAGGCCCCGATGCATCCCAGAACCATTGAGTCCCTCCTCGGAGGCCGAGTGGAGCGCAGCGTCCCGCAAAACCGTTCGGTGGACAAAAGTAAGGATCGCTCAGCGTCTTCCACACCTCCTGAATCTGGCTATGTCTCTCGAGAGACCACTGCGAGCAGCTATGATGTGGCCAGTAGCTCATCCAGCTCGACCAGTACCACCGAGGTCGTCGCCATCCAGGACCTTGACGACAAAGGTCGGCCCTGGTGGAAGAGTGTGGTTGCATACCAAGTCTGGCCCATGTCGTTCAAGGACAGCAACGGTGATGGCATTGGCGATTTGCAAGGTATCATCTCCAAGCTTGACTATCTCAAAGACTTGGGCATTGATATGATCTGGATGTCACCAACGTACAAGTCGCCGCTTGACGACTGGGGTTATGACATTTCCGATTACGAAGACATGCACGAACAGTTCGGATCGCTGAAAGATATTGAGATCTTGATCAAAGAGGTCCATTCTCGTGGCATGAGGATCATTCTCGATCTGGTGGTTACCCACACCAGTGTCCAACATGCGTGGTTCAAGGAGAGCGCTAAGTCGAAAGACAACCCAAAAGCAGACTGGTACATGTGGGCTGACAAGCGGCCGGGAAATATGATCAAAGGTCAGCTTGTCGAAGAGCCATCAAACTGGCGTGCAGCTTTTGGTGGAAGCGCATGGACGTATGTCCCTGCTCGAGACCAGTACTATATCCACTTGTTCCTGGAGTCGCAGCCCGATCTGAATTGGCACAACAAAGAGATGCGCGAGGCAATCTACCAATCTTCTGTTAAATTCTGGATCGATCGTGGAGTTGATGGGTTCCGCTTGGACACGGCGAACCGCTTCTGCAAGAACCCAAAGTATCCTGATGTCGAAGTGAGTGTTCCAGGCAAGTGGCAACCTGGTAGCCAACACTACATCAACGGGCCTGAGATGCACAAATGGCTGAAAGAAATTCGTGAGAAAATGGATCGGGACAGCAACGGCAAGGACTTGATGATCGTCGGAGAGCTCCCACTTACACCGTATGAGGAATTGCTGAAGTATGTGCATCCAACTCAGAAGGAGCTGAGTATGGTATTCGACTTTGACATGGTGAAACTTGGAAACAATGACAACCCAGATGAGTATGCGAAGCACGAAGTCAGCAACTATATGGACAAGAACGACAGTTATACTCTGCCAAAGTTCAAGGATGCACTGGGCAAGGCACAGTCCCTGATCACAGATAGCGGCGCTTGGGGAACAGTGTTTATGGAGGTAAGGATTAAGCTCTACCTGTGAAGTCTTTCTGCTAACGTTTCCTAGAACCACGACCAACCACGCAGCATCGCCAGATATGCCACACCCGAGCTCAAATACTGGCGCAAAGCCGGCAAGCTCCTCGCACTCCTCCAAACCACCCTCTCCGGCACAGAGTTCATCTTCCAAGGTCAAGAGATTGGCATGCTCAACATGCCCGAAAGCTGGGGCGTCTCCGAATTTCGTGACCCGGACGCAAAGATCTACGTTGAAGACTACTGCAATAACTACCGCGACACTGATCCCAACGCTCGCGAGAATGCCATCCGCGGCGTCTTCAAAGTCGGCCGCGATAACTCTCGCACCCCGATGCAATGGTCCAACGAAGCCAATGCTGGCTTCACTGGCAGTAATCCAACGTGGATGAAAGTCAACGATAACTTCGGCTGGTTGAACGTCGAAGCGCAGAAAGCTGATCCGGACAGTATCTGGAATTTCTGGAGAGCTCGGATTGCTATGCGCAAGGAGTTCAAGGAACTTTTCATGTTTGGGACTTTCGCTCTCTACGATCACGACAATGCGGAGACGTTCACGTATACAAAGATGGCTGAGGACGGACAAATGGCGCTGGTGATCCTGAACTTTTCGAACGAGGAGTTGCCATTGAATACGCCACAGAGGCATCTCTTGGGACATACGTACCGTTTGATCGCGAGCAATGTGCAGGAGCCGAAGGAGAAGTTGCAGGCTTGGGAGGGAAGAGTGTATATTGTGAGAGAGGGCTTGGAGGCGAAAGAGGGGAAGACGAAAAAGGTTAGTGAGGTGCAGGATCAGAAGGTGAGCAGTAAGGCGAAGACGAGTGCGTATGCGTGGTGCATGTGAGACGGCAGCATCCCCTTGATTTGGAGGAAGCATTGGTGTTCAGGCATACAGCTTGGTTCCACTCGGAAGAGGCTGCATAAAAGCATTTGCTTGTTGATTCTCTTGATCTCCTGTACGAATGTATTGATCTCTTTGTTTAGATTTCAGCACAGAACATGTGCAAGCCCGAGACGGATACTGCGTTCCGCACGTAGAAGGCCTGAATCTATCCGCAATCCTAACACTTCACTCTCGGACCGGTGCCAAGCGCAATGAACATTGTCCATCGCCAACATCGCTACTAATCGAACATTGATGCAAGCACGCCATCACACGATGGACGCATGATGTGGGCCTCAGGATGCAATTCAGCTGCTTCGTACTCATTCTGGACGGTATGTCGCCTGTGATCGCGGTATATCGGTTATGGTCCTTGGCGAAGGATCATATAGATATGAGAAGGAACATGTGGGTCCATACTATGGAGACGCATACCCCTGTCCACGAACTCATTGGAACTAGCGTGAAGAGAGACTAATGTACCACGCATCCTGTATTGCTCAATACGAGCTTTGAGATGCAATGCGATGGACACCTGTGCGTCATTGTTCGTTGTTGAGGTGAGAATTGGAAAGAGGATTGATGTTGGTATTCGAGATCTTCGATCGAGGAAGAGGACGATGGTCGAGCTGAGCATGCTGTCAAAGTATAAGTATGGGCTTGTTGGCACACAGTATCTGGAACAACAAGTCAGCAAGGCGATCCAGTCCTACAACATCAACCAAACAGAATCTTCTCCAACGACAAAAGCTCTTCCAACAACATAACCATCATGCTTCTCTCCTCCCCTCTCAGCGTCGCCATTGCCGGCCTTGCAGTCCTCGCCAAAGCAGATTTCCAAATTTACGTGAGCATAACAAGTCCACTTTCCCCCCAGCACCGGATCCGCGCCACTGACATGTCTTGCTACCAGATGGTCGACATCTTCAACATCGAACAGGGCGTGACCGAACACACATTCGTCCTCAACGGTGAACCAGACTGCAACGATGTAGGAAATGCCATCCCAATCAGCATTACCGACGACGCTTCCAGTGGCGGAACTCGTTACAAGATCGCCGATACTGCAGTTCCTGTCGCGGACTACGATATCGAGGAGCTAGAGTTGAACATCGGTGGTGACTGGGGACATTACACTATTTACAGTAGGCTTCGACTACCTTTCGAAACGCTTCCTTTTGTCGTTGTCGTGATCGAGCTAACCATTTGGCCTGCGTGCGCAGAGGATCGTGGATATGTCATGGAGGAGGCTGGCGGTGGTCCAAATGGTGGAACCTGCACGAGAGATTCGGGAGATGATTTTACTTGCACGACTAATATCCAGACGGCGACTGGTGTGAGAGTTTTCACTTGCAGTTCCGAGCTTGGAGGCCGTACTGGTTAGCTTGTGATCAGATTGAATCGGCTGTGTCGTTGGTAAGACACAGGGGACGAACCATCGCTCTGCGAAGTTGTCATATAGATGGAATGTAGCTGTTGGTAGCCATGGAAGCTGCTTCGTTATCATCGTCGGTCCTTCTGCCTCTCCCTGCTGCACGTCACTGGTAAGTCATGATAGAGGAACATCGTTGCTGGCTGAACCTGTAAAGGTCGCGATCGATCGCGGATCATACAGCCCGGTCCCGTTCACGCATATTTCGGGAACATACCATTACCTGCAGCTCCAGCCTTGAGGCACTCGGAAATTCGTGTTCAGACCTCTTCACCCTCCTCTTGGCCGTAAAGTCGCTGCCACTCCCCTTCTAGCATCGAGTAAGCGTAATAATCCCAATATCTCCCATCATGCCAAACCTCGTCTCTTAACTTCCCTTCGAGCACAAACCCCATACTTTCATACAGCTTGATGGCGTTCGCATTGTACCCGCAGACTCTCAAACTGACTTTGTGCATTGCAGCGCGACGGAAAGCCCAGTTCAAAGCCCATTTGACGGCTTCTCTTCCGTAGCCTTTGCCCCAGTGCTCGCGATCGATGACAATGCCCAGACTCACATGGCGTGAGAAACGTCCATTTTCTATGTTGTTGTCTCTGATCGACAACATGCCGATGGATGTGCCATTTGAATTTTCGTCACCATCGGTAGCAGGGAGATAGATTATTGCGGATAGCATGCATTTTGAAACCAACTGCTCGCGTCGTTTCTTTGCACTGTCTCTGCTAAAGGGCACTGGTAGCCAGAGGCCGGTATTCTGGTCAATCTCAGGGTCCTGATGGAGACGCAGAATGAGAGCGTCGTCAGCCTCTTCTATGGCTCGGAAGCCCAGGCGCTCTGTGTGGAACATGTTGTCCATAACGAATAAGTGGAGAAAGAGGAAGCCGGAGAGATGTGGTGTTCGTATCGGTGCCAAGATACCACTTTAACGCCACGCGCCTGCCCCACGCGTCACAGAACGCGTTCGCGGTTTCCCTGGTGACGTGAGTGTGAAGCACTGACCATTCACCCGTCCCTGGTTCTCTTCTAGAACGTCACAGTTGAATGCACCACATATCTGCCACGACCGAGCGATAGCACAGCACAATTACACCGATCGCATCCTATCGTCAGCATGCCTCCCAAACGTCGATCCACCGCGCCGCGCAGCGCCGGCCCACAGCGCACCAATTCGCAACAGCAGACACTCTCTTTCCACGGCAAGAACAACAAGGGCAACAAAGTCACCAAAGCGCAATCGCCTCGAGCAGCGAAATCGAGCAAGAAGGACCCCGCATTACTAGAAGATCTTGTTGCGCCTGAAGCGCAGGATGTCAAAGTCGAGGACCCGGAACCGGAACTTGCAGAACCTACAACAGCGGAAAAGGCTATCCAGCAGCAAGCGGAGAAAGAAGCAGACGCTCTTGACACAGTCGCTTCCAAGACCTCAGACGTTCTCGGCGGAGTCGCCTCAGAGTCTTCACTTGGAGCTACCAGCGGGACCAACAATGACGGCTGGCTGGGAGACGAAGAGACTCGAGCGCGCAAGATCCCGCAGACGCAGATCAATCGGTACTGGAGAGCAAAAGAGCAAGAGCGCAAGGCACCGAGAGTACATCAGGAAGATCTGAGTTTGCATGAGAAGATTCTACGAGAGTGGGACATGCAGAGTCACTACGGGCCTTGTATTGGCATCGCGAGGCTGAAGAGGTGGAAGAGGGCAAACATGCTGGGCTTGGAGCCACCGATTGAGGTTCTGGCTGTGCTGTTGAAGGAGATGGATGGCGGGGTCACAAAGAGCCAGCGTGCGCATGTGGATGAGCTGATGAGCTCAAGGTTCATTGAGACGTAGTGGGGAGAGCGATGGTGCAATCTGGGGAAGAGGGTCTTATGCAGATCTGTTGCTTTGGGCATTATGAAGTGAAGGTGGAGTTCAGGTCGCTGGGTCTGGCGTTGCATAGCAAGGATGTCTACACGTCTCGCATGGTCGAATGATTTGAGCGTAACAGTAGCTCACAATGGAAAGTCCTTGAAGTCCATCAAGGCACGGTAATGCATGTTTCACTAAACCATTTGGCTCCTCTTCGCGAAATTGAGGGGTAACGGTGTGACTGTAGAAAAGAACGTTGCATGTAAAGCACTACGTTCCATGGTGGAGAGAACCACTGTTCTCGGAGAGCACAATGGCAACAAAGGATGCAGGACAGGACTCGCATATGTACAGCCAGCCTGCACGAAATCGAGATCAGGACTAGCACCTGTGGCACCTGTCTTCACCACGTCCACCGTAGCACAGCCTCAACCAGATCCGATTGTGACAGTTGAGGGGCTCTGAGACCTCTGTAGCCAAGGCGGTACAACCACCAACGGGCATTCCTGCCACTTCAGGCGAGAATCAAGCTTCTAGTGCCAGGTACACAGAACGCGCGTGAAGTACAGTAGCGGCAAGCGGTGACAGGTTCCGAGAATAGTAGTACACCAGTAGGGCCAGACTATACGTTGAGAGAGCAGAGAACAGTCCCTGCATCGTGGTCGCAAAGCGCCCAGCACGTGTACGCGGCGTGTGTGTCTTGCGAAGAGTGATCGGGTTGAGCGAGGTGAAAAACCGGAAGGAAATTTCGCTCTGTCACAGGCTGCCGTCGTGGCCCGTGGTCTCAACCGAGGGGCGATGGATGGTCACTGTCGCAGCGACACGAACGAGCTCAGCTCGTGGTTGAGTAAGCGGAAGTCGTGGGATGCTTTGTTCGAAGCGCGTGGGTAGGAGCGAACAAGAAGGGACGACGTGTCGTACAGAGAGCTGCAGGGAGAGGAGAGAGAGAACTTTGTTGCCTCTGAGGTTTCTGGAACTACCAAATTGAGTCTCCCGACGATCAACCATCGTCACAGTACGTGGGTCATCGTGAACTCAATCTGCTCGTGGAAGTGCGACGGGAAGACATCTTTTCCTCTGTGTCCATCCCCTCTCCTCGACGCAAACCACTTTCGCCGCGCATTGTTATAAGCTGACACGCACGCCCTGCAAGCCATCGATCGCCGTTGCAGCACGTGTGGCCCGTCCGGAGGAGCTGGAAACTTTTGCTTGAGAGCTTGTTCGCCGACGTCGTTGACTTTGGCGGGGACGTCCCCTTCGCTCGCAGGACGCTCTGTCAGCTACCTCCGTAGAGTCAGAGCCCACCCAGTGTGCAGCATCAGCGCCATTCATCCGCCGGCCGCTCACGCCTCGGTAGACATACAGTCTCCGTTGCTGCAAGAAGCGCACTTGCACTCCTGGACATCATCCTCCCGCGCGCGCACACGACTGCCGCCCTACCCACGATCGCCGGACCAGGTTGAGCTCGACTCGACACCGCCATTGAACGCGCCCGCCGAGACCGGGAAAAAGCCAGCCAAACAGCAGTGGTGCAGCTGCGCAGCAGGCACACCACCGCCGGGCGTCGACCGCCAGCGCATTCAGAGGCCGCCAGTTGGACGTGGACTGGCGCTGGGAGCCCATATCCCGTGCCTCTGCAGGCACACCACCAGAAACAACCTTAGACAACCTTATCCGAGCCCGGAAGCGCCATGAACTCGATCAAACGAGCTTTCAAGGCCGATGCCGCCGAGCAGCACGCCCAAGTGCAGGGCAGCTTGCAGGGAAGTCCAAGTCAGCCCACTGACGCCGACCTGAAAGACGTCCAACGCGCACAGCAACGGGACGACCTCCATCCCGAAGCGCAACAAGAGTTGGCACAACTGCGAAATACGCTGCAGAACAACATCCAGTCGTCGCGCATGCAGCATCATGCCTTTGAGCCGCTATCCCTGCCCGGCTCGCAACCAGTGTCACGAGTAAGCACCATCTCCTCTTCCCTCTGAACTCTGATCTCTTCATCCACCTAGCGTGCTATGACATGGTCGTGGCTCAGGAAGCTGACGGCACGCCTCCGCAAACAGGTCCCTTCGGGCTCCGCGACTCCCTCCCGGCGATTTGCCTCAGGCTCCGTAGAGGCCTCCCCCAAGCCATCGCCGCCGACATCTGCTGTGCACTCGCCGCCGCTGACTCCAGCTGCCAGTCGCTCTCGAGATGGCGGTAGAGCTCCTACAAGCGCCCCCGCTGTGCGGCCGCCTGGTGATATCATGACTCCTCAGCGGTCAGCATCGCCAGCACGGAACGAGAATATCGCCGGTCCCGTCTCAAGTCATCCAAAGCAACAGCCATCTCATTCCCTTGGCCCTTCTGGCGACTCACAGCCTACGTCAAAGGACGTCTCTCCTAATGGCACCCCTGCGAGCACTGCTCCCGGCACTCCACGGCCCTTTACACCATCAGAGGGAAAGCCGCAAGGCCTACGTCAATCGCAGCTAGCACAATCAGAGAGTGGTCAGTCGAAGAGAAACAGCTTCAGATTCGGCGACAGAGATCCATCTGTCGGTTTCACAACTTCCGGTACTGGTCCGTCATTGCCCGCTGTGCCTGGCGCCGCGAACCCGATGCCCATGGCACGATCGGGATCAGGTACGACCTTAGACCAAGCAAAGCACGCTTTGGCGGACGACAACAGCAGCAAACGATCCAGCTTCTTCGGCGGGAAGAAAGACCACAGCAGCAACGATAGCTCATCCACGCTCGTGGAGAAGGGCCACTCGCATTCCAGTTCGAAGTCGAATTTGAAGCGATTTTTCAAGTTTGGCGGAAAGGACAAGCATGAGAAGGAGGAGAAAGATTCACATAGAGGCTCAAAGGACGGAACGAAGACACCCTCGCGCAGTACTACTGGCGATGGCCCCAGCGTACCGTTCGCGGATGACCACGGCATTCAGTCCAAGTATGGTAAATTTGGCAAAATGTTGGGCTCTGGAGCCGGAGGATCTGTGCGATTGATGAAGAGGAGCGGCGATGGAACAGTCTTCGCCGTGAAGCAATTCCGCGACCGACACGCTTACGAATCCGAACGAGAGTACAACAAAAAGGTCACGGCCGAGTTCTGCATCGGATCCACCTTGCACCACGGAAACGTCATCGAAACAATTGATATCGTGCAAGAGAAGGGCAAATGGTACGAGGTGATGGAGTATGCGCCATTCGATCTCTTTGCGACGGTCATGACGGGGAAGATGGGACGAGAGGAAGTGACATGTTCAACGCTCCAGATTCTAAGCGGTGTGCTTTACCTGCACAGCATGGGTCTTGCGCACCGAGATCTGAAACTGGACAATGTCGTGATTAACGAGCACGGCATCATGAAGCTGATCGATTTCGGTTCTGCAGTGGTGTTCAGATACCCGTTTGAGGAGGACATCGTGTTGGCGACAGGTAAGTGCGAGAAGAAGTGACAAAAATGATGAGAAGCTGACTCGTTTCAGGTGTTGTTGGATCTGATCCCTACCTTGCGCCTGAGGTATATGATCACTCGCGATACGATCCTCGTCCGGCGGATATCTGGTCAATAGCCATTATTTTCTGTTGTATGACGCTTCGCAGATTCCCGTGGAAAGCTCCGAGGCTGTCCGACAACAGCTACAGACTTTTTGTCTCTCCGCCAGACCCTGACCAGGACAAGCTGCTCGACCAGCATCGACGGTCCGTGGCTTCGAAAGCGGCGACAGCTCCGCCTTCGCGTAATCCTAGTGGGAACGACGAAGACGGGAATGATGGCCACAAGGATCACAAACATCATCATCACCATCATCACCGAGAGACGACGGCGGAGAGTGCTCCTGCCAGCAGGACTTCGACATCTGAGCAACCGACAATCAAGGGGCCAATCCGATTGCTCCGACTACTCCCACGAGAGACGAGGCATATCATCGGCCGCATGCTTGAGCTTGATCCGGCGAAGCGAGCGACAATGGATGAGATCCTGGCCGATCCGTGGGTGGCGAACGCGCTGGTGTGTCGACAAGAAGAAAATGGCGTGATCATCAAGGCGCCGAATCACACACATGCACTGCAACCGAGCAATGCGAGTGGGTGAGCGTGCAGCACGCATATGAAAACGATGATTGTGACCGTGCTTGGCTCAGACAAGCGGGCAGCTTTGACCAATTCACCTCTTCGGGCCGTAGCCTATGAAGCGCTCACTTTCGAGTGCTTACTCTGATGCGCAGACGGATGACTGCGCTCTGGAACGGGCAGCGAAATCACATTCCGACTCAACCTGTCGGGGTTGAGAGAAAATGACACAAAATTCTTGTTTATATTATTTTTCCGCGTGAAATTTGGCTGAGCTTCAACAACAGCGAAGCGAAAGCAAGAGGCGTCTTGCCAAAAGATTGATACTTGAAGGAGGGTTAGTGAGTCTTGTTCCTGGGGTTATTCCGCCAGAATGATTGAAGATTCAAAGAAAGGAGCTTTTGCGCGTGGGTTTCGGTTTTTGGAAGAAGACTCTACACTCCGCTTTTGAGACAAATTCGACACGCAAGGAAGCATGCAATTGATGGGATGCAAGTGATGGGATTATGAACTATGGAGCGACGGCCGGTGATGCATCTGTTTTGCGTTGGGTTTTGGGTAATGGAATTGTGGTGGGATAGGAAGTGGTGGAGGAGAATGGAAGTTCGAGAAGGCGAAGAGGGCAGGCAGGAGAGGACGAATTCCGTGATGTTTTCATGCAGCGAATGTAAAAAGAAAAAGAATGTAAAAGAAACTCGATACTTGACTTGCTCGAACTTCAAGTTGCTTGACATTTTTGCTGGCGATTGTGTGGTTTGTTTGAGCATTCGGGTCTTCAGATTATGCTGTGAAACAGAGATTTGCGCGTGGCACGAATGTGGGAGCATGAAGTACGTGTAGACGGATTCTTGCTTGACTTGGCGTGATAAGGCGTGCTGCGCGCGCTGGACGGGAGTATTGTATCTGCGTTCTAGGCGAATGACTACGCACATCATGCTCATTAGGACTAACGCGATGAAGTGGTTGGTGTTTCAACGACTTAGTGGGGATTGTGCGAGCAGGTGTTCGGATTGTTTCCATGAATTGTCGGAACCGCCGTCGTGCAGCGGTTGTTGCAAGGGTATATGTAGGGTTGGGAGCTCGAGCGGCCGTTTTCTCTACGATGCCGTTTGAGTTGGACAGTTGCAAACGTTGTACTTGTATTTGCAGTTACCTTCTTTGGGTGCCGGTTTGGAGATGTTATTTCGTTGCTTTGGCGATTGTGGAGATTTATTGTGTGTTGTCTACTGTTGGCAACATTTGATTTGATGGTGATCTTCGTTGGGCAGTGCTCTGTGATGCTTGCGTGAGTATGTGGCACAAGACAACGTGCAAATCCCATAGCTGGAGCTAGGTAGCTGGGAGCTGCCGTGGCGTGCTACCTCCTATCAGCACCAATGGGCTGAAGGCCTAGACGCTGAAAGTTTCCGTGCGGCGTATGATATGCATGATACAGATACGGAGCTGTTGCGCGAGACAATCATGCCAGCCTTGCTCGTTTCGTCTCCTTTCACATGAGAGTGTTGGATGGATTGGGGGAGGTGCGTTGATAGCGAGTCGTTGCTTGCAGTGCTGTACGAGGATCGGGTGTGAGCTATCTGTTGGAGTCACAAAGTACCGAATCCTCTCCCTAGGTTAGAGGTGAGAAGTGCGCGTGTTGATAGGATAGATATGGCTGGGCTTGGCGGAGAGCGGAGTGGAAAAAGCTTGTTGTGCTCGTGGTGCTGATTAGTACTGCATTCCGCATTGGATGTGCAGAGTGGACAGTCCATCACGGGCAAAAAGAAGCGATGAAAATCCTCAACCACCGACTGATGCAAAAGATGATGAGAGTGAGCAACATGACCAACACCTCCTCGACCGGGCCCACACGAACCAATGACCGGAGACTTACGCATGCTTCGGCAAACCCCTCGAGGTTCGATAGGTGAGCGTGTAGGAGGTAGCTGTCATTGTGCTTCAGACAGCGTGTTTCAGAAGTGCAGCTTCTTTGCCTTTTGCAGAGTGTCATGTGTGACTTCACCCGACGGCGTGGCCGAGCAGGAAGGATGGCGCGTGAGAGGTCTGGATTTGCAGCGCATCGTGATTCGAGAAGATTTCCGCCCACCGGCTGCTCGTACACGACGACGATGATGACCTGGGAGAGGGATGATGTGTGTCTTGTTTCGTATCCATACGTCAAGTCAAGCTTGGCTGCAACACTTGATGAAACGGGCGAGCGAACGACAGGTGAGGTGGTGTGGGCAGAGATCGTCGAGAGGCCTGCACGCCGGCTGTCGTGGTGATGATGTGTTGCTGGGATGCACAAGCGAATCGCCCGCATCGATTGGCTGTGCACGGACCAGTCTTTTCGTGCACTCTGCTCACTCCGTTATCAAATCGCGGGCGTGCGTGTTGCGTGTTGCAGAAGGAGAGCTCCCATGCGGCGAATGCGGCCCATGATGATGATGCATTGCGCCAGCGATAAGCAATGGATACTTCTCCTCCTGCAACACATCCAGCAGCGCGCGGCTCAGAGAACAAGAAAGGCGCCTACCGCACGCCCGTCGTCGTTCTTTCCTCCCCTCGTCCACACGACCAGCCGTTTTCGCGCGCTGTGCATGCATATGGCTTTTCTTTACAAAGTCTGGCGCTGATCGAGGCCCCATCCGACGGACGCCGCCAAACCTCCAGCCGCCTCCAACTGCGCCCTTTTTTAGTTGACCACCTGTGCCGCTTCACCACCACTCAAATACCCACGTTGTCGCTGCTCGCTGTTTTGGGAGAGTGCGCACTACACTCTAGATCCTCAAATTGATTCCAACCACAGCCCATAGATGCCGCCCCAGCCGACTGTCCGAGATTTCTGCTGCTTCCGGAAGCGAATGCAGAGATGATCATGGGCCGCTTCCATTCGAAAGGCCATTTCCTCGACATCCACCATGCCAACGCTGGCTATTCCTCCACCACCGCCACCACCACCACCACAACTACCTGGCAGCCTCACTCACACATCTACTCGGCCTCGACGAGCTACATCACTCCTTTGAGACTAGCGCCGAGGGAGGAAACGACCCGCATCTCTCTCCAGCGACAACGGTATCAGGAACAGCATGCAAAGACGCTGGTGAGCACGAGTTCCATTCCCGGCCTCAAAACCTCTGCTGGTAAGCATCCTTTCCCGATATTCCACGCCGCTCGTATCTCTCATCACGCGAGGCTTCGCAAGTTCGATCCTCCCACCTTGGCTCTCCAATGAGCACGGGACCGGCGCTGTGCCGCCGTTGAGCATGATAACATCATATATATCGTTGCTATCCTCCTTGCTGTTATCGTGACTTCTACTCAATCCTCTTTTTGGGATGTTCGAAGAAACAGAACAAGATGTATGAATAACGGAGTGTCTCTAACAATGGCTTTGGTTTCAGCTTTCTTCGCCTCGCTTCGTACGAATTTGAGGTTACACGACTCTCCACCCGCAAGCCCACTTTCCACGCCAAACTCCATGCGAGGATCGACCACAACCTTGCTGCCGCCGCCTTCACCTCTTGCTGGTCCCGTTCTCACCGTCGACATGGACGCTCCGGACACGCCTTTACCGCAAGACAATCCCCTGGCAGGCGTGCCCGAGTTATCGTCGTATGTCGCGACTGACGAGTTCGAGAAGAGGGAGGCGTTGAAGTTGGTGGCAGACAGTGTGGCACAGCAGCGGCAAGCAGCCAACCGAGCACTGCTGTCGCATCCGCTCAATGTGGCTGTCGTCGTTGGGTCGTTGGCGTTCCTGGCGAGATACATGCAGAATGCACGCTACGATTGGATTGCCACGACTTTAACTTGTATGGGCATCTTGATGACTGCCATGGCAGGGTGTCGCTATGCGACGCAAGAGTATATTCGTGCTGCGGAGGATATCAACTTCGACTGGTTAGGCGATGCGGATATCCTGGTCACGAAGTTTGGAGACGAAGTAATAGGAACGGTGATCGTGGAATGGGTGTCTGGAGAGAGTCGAACAAAGAAAAAAAAGGCATGGAAAGGTTTCGTAAGAGCATGGACAGTGCGACTAAAATATCGACACAAAGGTGTGGGAGCAGCACTGTTAGAAGATGCCGTGAGCGCCGCGAAGAAGAAAGGTGCCGAGTCATTGGAATTCGCAGAAGACCATGCGAGTAAGTTTTCCCTGTCTCATCTTTGCAGTGAGGCTTTTATTGACATATGTTTAGACTCTCGGCGTGTGCTTCCGAAGTTGTATAATGGTACCTTGAACCACTACGAGGCCAAGGCGATAGAGCAATTACACGATTTGATGGAGTCCAGCCCGCGGAAGGGAGGGAAACGACGACTAACGAATTAAAGAGAAACGAATCGTGCACGGAACTTGTACAGACATAGAATTCCAAATTAATACACTTTGCGCGGTTTGCGAGAGAATTCGAGACCACGACTGCGGTGGTCTGGATGTGCTGAGACGTGTGGTATCGCATTAGTTCTTGAGCAGCGTGGTGGCAGTAACTTGCTCGTTGCGTTTTGGGCGAGCGAAGTTGCATTGCAGGGAAGCCGCGCTGGTCTAGCAAAAGGTGGTGGACTTTGCCAGTCTGGTCCTTTCAGGGGATTCACGCCACGACATGCCTTCTACGACAACGCAGTGCATTCATCTCCGAAAATGCGAACATCTGATAACAATTGATGAAGCATCTTGGCCAAGCTTGCGGGAGCCCCGCACCACCACTATACTTCATGTGTGGAACTTGCCTTCGAACCGCGGCTTCTCTTGCTTTACCATGTCGATCACTGGTCAGTGGCTGCATTCTCATCCCGTCCAAGAACGACTGACCAGGCACTCGGGAAAGCAATACTTCGAAGCTCTGTCGAAGGCAACCAGAAACGGCCCTGTTTCTCGGATGCCGGCAAGGATGAACTTCGACGAAGAAGGGCTGGCGACGAAAGAGGAAGCACAACTGAAGCACACTGAGGCCAATACAGTTATGTACTTGCTCTGGGCGGCACAACCACGACGAGGCTATGGGCAGGCTCGTTCCCTAGTGCTTTATGCAAACCAACTCAAAGCCTCGTGCGGTCGCACGGTCGCACTGCTTGCCCCATACTACACAACTCAGAGCTGTGTTCCTGCTGATCGAAGAAGTCAACCATACTGCCTCAGCCGCTAGTGACTACACCCAACTTGACTGAAGAACCATAGTGGCCTTTTTCTGCATGTCGATCACACACTATAGACAGCGACATGCCTCGGCCTCCACGGAAAGAGGAAAATCACGCAGGTGATTTGATAGTTAGGAATGGCTAATGCACTCCAGACCATGGACCTATTGTTGAGGCTATTGAAATCACACGTGTGATGAGCCGGATGAGGTGGTATATGTTGACTGCATCTTCTGAAGATATATATTGTATTGAGCCCGGCCTGCTGTAGTACAGTTTCGCCAAGTCATATTCCTATTGACGAGAATGGCCATCATCAAGGCATTGGCAGGTGTCTGCCTCGCGGCCACTGTGCTTGCAAGCCCAACACCAACGGAGAACGAGCCTGCAAAGATCGAGGCACGACAAGGAACTACCAATGCTCCCATCACCAACCAGAACCAACTCGATGCTGCTCTCCGAAGCCTCAGCGCCGGTGCAACTGTCGGAACGGCCATCTTGACCAACATCGTCCCGGCCCCAGGTCCATCCAGTATCCCAGAATTCGCTGCTCAGATTCAGAAGATCTCTGCCACCAACCCACGAGATATCTTCCAAAACGGCGCTGAGATCCTCCTCGGAGGTCTGGCTGGTCCAGGAGACTTCCTCACGATCGCCAAAGCCTATACTATTGAGAGCAATGCCAACAATATCAACCTGCGCCCAGCTTTCCCACCTGTCTACCCAAGAAACGGTCCAAACGATGCGCCATACTCTTTGAGTGAATCGCAGCTCAGACGAGCCATTTACATCCCACCGGATTACACCTATGGCCGCAAGCCACCGGTTCTGTTCCTCCCAGGCACTGGTGCACGCGCCGGATCTAACTTTGGTCCTAACATCGCGAAGCTGTTCCGAGAGCAGAATGTTGCCGATCCGGTATTCGTGAATCTGCCAGCTGAGAACTTGGACGACATTCAGAACGCCGCTGAGTATGTCGCTTATGCGATCAACTACATTTCCCGCATCAGCGGAAACCGCAAGGTACGTTCATTCAATTCTTTCGCCTCCTGCCAATTGATCAGTACTAACCCTTTCCTCCCAGGTCAACACAGTCTCCTGGTCCGCCGGCTCCGTCGACGCCCAATGGGCCCTCAAATATTGGCCCTCCACACGCCCCAACGTCGCCAACAAAATCAGCATCTCCGGCGACTACCACGGCACAATCCTCGCCCAAATCCTCTGTCCAGGATTCCCAACCCCAGGTTGTGTCCCAGCCGTCGCACAACAAAACTACAACAGCACATTCATCAATACCCTCCGTAACCGCGGCGGAGATTCTGCTTACGTCCCCACAACAAACATCTACAGCATCTTCGACGAAATCGTCCAACCGCAACAAGACCCAAATGCCTCTGGCGCCCTTCTCGGAGGTCCAAATATCGTTTCTAATACTGAGATTCAAAATGTTTGCACCGCACTTTTGCCGGGTGGAGGGCCTAACGTCAACCACGAAGGCGTACTGTACAATTCTCTCGCATACGCTTTGGCGAAAGATGCAATTGTCAATGGCGGACCTGGAAGGTTGGATCGCATTGATACAAAGCTGGCTTGCTCGCAATTTGCTGCGCCCGGGTTGACGCTTGCGGATATTTTGGCGACGGAGGCTTTGATTCCTATTGCGGGAGCGGCGATTGTGGCTTATCCGGAGAAGGTTGCGAATGAGCCGCCGATTAGAGCGTACGCGAGGGGGGATGTTCCTGCGGGGGCTTAAGGAGATCGGGATTGAATTGGGGGGTTAGAGGAATGGAGAGAGTGAAGGGGAAGGGGAGAGTGAGACGATGTTAGTTTCTTTATGGGATGAAGATAAATGATCAATGAGAGGATTCATGCGCTTTACGAATTGATGTGAGATTATTTTGAATGTATGTTTCTTGCTCTTTGCTCTTGTATTCGGAAACTCTGTCGATTCATCTAGTGACTCCACTTCAATGGAAGATAGGCGGCAGATGTGTTTTCTGTAAGTTGTTCACATGCTGGAGTTGCTTCCGCCTGTTGGAAATCGCTTTTAATGAGTTCATGTGGTTAGAGAGCAAATTGTTTCAATTGCAGACGATATGTTCAAGGGTTCTCGTTCCCAGGATAGATAGTACCTTAGGGAGAAAAGCAAATGGGAGTCAGGAAAGTGAACTGCCAGTGGAACCTGGAGCCAAGTACTGCTTAGTCAGCTTTCACTCCCCACATCATCATCACGGGAAGAGGCAGCTCACAGCTCACAGCAGGTCACTTCCCACGGAAAGATACACGGTTAGAGCAGCAGGTTGCACTTGCCCACGAGCTGGCTGTGGCACGATGGAGTCCATCAGCAAAATCAGCTCGCTGCTGGAGCAAGGTATGTACCTGATCAACACCACCTCAACAACATGGACAGCGAACTCCCCAGCACGAAGCGACCACACATACGTACCCTGACTGATCGACGCCGTACAGCACGCGACCTCACGCTCGAAGCCGCCCGCGATGCCGGACCACGAAGGACCACGAAGGCGCTGCCGGCGGCGCAGATCAAAAAGATGTTGGATAGCAAGCACGAGCGAGAGGTGCTCGATGGGCTGCGGAAAGTGGTTGCGGTAGGCCAGGACCATCAATTGTACATACACGTTGGAGCGACACAAGTTGATAATAAGAGATGTAGATGCAATATGCCAATCCTCCGCAACCGACTCTTACTTTCTTTCCCGCTGTCCTCAAGACTCTGTCGAATCCATATCCGTCAACGAGACCATTGGTATACAATTATTTGATCCATCATGCTGAGGCAGATCCGGATACTGCGTTACTGGCAATCAATACGATACAGAAGTCCCTGTCAGATACTAACCCGAGAGTACGAGCTATGGCGTTGAAGACCATGTCTGGGATCCGCATTCCCATGATCGCACAAATCATCAGCCTGGCGATTAAGAAGGGCGTCAATGATCTTTCGCCTCTCGTGCGGAAAGCCGCAGCGCTGGCTTGTGTGAAATGCGTACAGCTTGATGAGAGCACGCGGCCGCAGATCGAGGACTATATTTCAACTCTGCTCGGCGATCAACAATATTATGTTGCAGGCGCTGCTGTGCAGGCTTTAATGGAGATTTGCCCGGATCGCTTGGACCTCATACATCCTGTCTATCGCAGGCTGTGCAAGATGATTGTCGATATGGACGAGTGGGGTCAGCTGGCTGTGATTCGACTATTTACGGTATATTCGCGCAAGTGCTTTCCGAAGCGCACCACGCGAGTGAAGCGTGCGGCGACCCAGGAGCAACGAGCGAAGGACTTTTACGAGGATCTGGAGCCACAGGAGGAGACAGAGGAAGATTATGAGGAAGTCGAAGCGATGGATCCAGATCTCGAATTGTTCCTGAAATCGATCCAGCCGCTTCTATCCTCTCGCAACTCGGCCGTCATTCTCGCTGTCACCCGGGCATACCTCTATCTCGCTCCTTCAACACACCTTGCAAAAGCAGTCGGTCCGCTGATGGCGCTGCTTCGATCACCTCAGGACATTCGACAGGTGGCTCTGTACAATATCGTTCAAGTGTGTCTGATCGACCCTGCTCAGTTCGTACCATACTTTCGACATTTCCTGGTTCGCGCAACAGAAGCTCCCCAGATCTGGCGGCTGAAGTTGGAAGTTTTGACGTTGATGTTCCCGCATAGCGGCAAAGAAATACAGGAGCTTATACTGGCCGAGCTGGAGCATTTCTCGAAAGGTCACGACACGAATCTAGTCCGTGAAAGTGTTCGAGCTATTGGACGATGCGCGCAGGCATCCAGTGATAGAACATCTCGCCGATGTTTGTCCCTCCTGCTTAAGCAGATCCGCAGTCCGGATGCTAATCTGGTTGGCGAAGCGATGGAAGTCGTTCGACATCTCATCCAACGAGCACCTGAAGAACATCGCAAGACTGTTATAAGGCTAGCAAAGAACCTCGATACTCTCACGTCGCCTTCTGCACGAGCAAGCATTGTCTGGCTGATTGGAGAATTCGCTGGAGTCGATCCGGAGAACAACATCGCTGCGGATGTGTTGCGCATCTTGGTCAAAAATTATGCCGAAGAGAGCGACGAAGTGCGCGCTCAGACCATTCTGCTCGCGGCGAAAGTTTACTTGCATTACCTGAATGCTAAGAATGAGAAGCAGAAAGCAATGGATGCGTTGAACCCGGAACAGAAACCGGTCTCTTCCAGTACTGTACTCTCGCCGACTGAAGAAGAGATCGACGGCTTCCGAGAAAACGCGTTCTCAACACAGAATGAAGCCGTGCCTCAAGAAGACCAAGAATCAAAGCATCCCATCGAAGTCCTCTACCAGTATACTATGCTCCTTGCACGATACACGCCCTCATACTCCCTTCGGGACCGCGCACGCTTGTTTCGATCTCTGCTATCAGTGCAAAGTAGCACAGAACTTGCTTCTCTACTACTCTTAGCACCCAAACCTGTCCCTCAAGCGCCCTCTCCTTCCGAAAGTCGGAAGACCTTACTGCTTGGGACGACTTCCTTGGTCATCGGATCTGAAGCTGGCACGACGGGAATGCGAGGATACGAGCCTCTGCCTGAATGGGTGGAAAGTGGCCGCGAACCTGATCCCAAGTTGCGAGACGATGGTGACCGAGCGACACAGAAGGGTGCATATGTTCCGGAGCGAGAACTGACTGCTGCACAAAGATTGGACGAGGGGTTGGAGAAGGATCCTGGCTATAAGAGCAGTATGATCGGGGGCCCGAAGAAGGAGAAAACATTGGATGCGTGGTTGGATGAGGAGAGTGAGAGTGAAGAGGAAACTGAGGAGGAAGAGGAGACGGAGAGTGAAGAGGAGACTGACGAGGAGGAGGAGAGTGAGTATGAGACAGACAGCGAGGAGGATGAGAGAGCGGGTTTGGTGAAGTCGTAACAATCGAAAATGTTGTATTTGGCTATGCCGAGTAGGCAGCATATGTTGTTACATGCTGATGACCACTCGATGTTGCATCGTCGACGCTACGCACAGGAACTTTGTGCGGTTTCCAAACTTGCGGAGAGTCCTCTGGATTTTATTGTTTACTGACCAGCGTGCTTCCCTTTCATTGACAGGAACTCGCTGCCTTCTGGTGTCATCTCCTGCTTGCCCGATGGCGCATTCGCGGCCTGAATTGGAGAAAAACATCTCGTAAGTTCGTCTTCGTCGGCTGCATGTCAACCGGTGATAGTGGTAGTGAGAATGATTCCTGGTATCCTTCTGAAGTGGGTCGCCTCAGAAATCTGAGCGTAACCCAGCTTTCCACGCCAGCTGAGATTCACTGGAAAAGGTGAAGTCGAGCCGAACAGATCTGCATTGGCGATGACAATGTTTCGCAGAGGCTTAGGTCCAGACAAGGCTTCATACTTTCGAAGTCCAGCAGTCACTCATCCCGTCATGGTAACATCCTTGCCTTTTCCTTTCGCAGCTGCAGCCGCAGCAGGTGGTGCTCCATTCGCCGCCTCGGGCAGCTTTTTGAGCTTCAACTCAGCAGATTCCTTCACAGCCTCCGCAAGTACCGTTCTTGTCAGTACAGCAGCTTTGACAGCACTGTCAATTAGTTTTTCGCTCTCCACCCCAGCATCACCTTTCATCCACATTTCTGAAATCTCGTCTCGTGAGTGCATGTATCCTACCACACACGCCGCTCGAATGTCTTCCTCCGGTGGCGCAGGATCCAGAACGAATTCGGCATTTCCTTCGCTGTTTCCAGTCGATGCAGGTTTTCGCTCAACCAAAGCCGCAACACCACCACTCACCAGATCCACGCAATCAATTCCCGCATCGCATAATGCCGCACTCGCCACTGTAATGCATCCCGCTAGAACACTCATGAGACCCCAGCCTGTTCCCTTTCCACTCCGTCCTTCGCCTCCGATCTCCGGAAATCCATCCTCCTCGCCTTCCAAAATCGTCACGACAACTTCACATCCAGCTTTCGGCCATCGCTCTCCAATAATCACACCTCTCAACGCAGTCTCCAAATGCTGCGCTAGATCCCTCTCGCTTGCATCGCGAATATAGCCTCTCCGTACTCGTGTCGCGAATGGCGCGAATTTGATATGTGTTGTCAAGAGGAGATTGGGACTAAAAGCTGCGGTGCGAGGGAGGGGCCGAGGACCGTGGACTGTGCAGATGATTTTGAGAGAAGAAGTCAAAGGAATCAGAAGGGCGTTGGCGTCTTTCGATTTTGATGACACGTCTTGAGGCGAGATCTCATAATATGCGCTTCCGCTTGCTGAGGGGACTACGCCAGTGCGAAGGAAGATTTTGCGGTGTTCTTCTGCTTGTCGCGTCCTTGAAGGTCTTGTGATGTGTGATGGGTATTCGAAGATCGGAGGGGCTGTGCCTCCTGCTGGAGGGTTGAGACGGCGGCGATCGGATTGCATTGTTTTTGTTGCCTGTTTCTTGAGGTGTTGATGTTGATGCTTGGCATGGACTTTCTAGAGGTGAAGTTTGGCTGGAGATGGAACGCCACAAACGCCGCAAGGGTTCGATTGGTTGTTCCTGCAGATGCGTCATTGGTTTGTGGCTGTGCGGTTCACACTCACGAGACCTCGATAGCTGCTGATCCCAGGCGGCGACATTTCGATTCTGTTCTCTCTCACTCCTCTCCCACCAACACACACGACGAGAACGAAACTGCACACCCACAATGTGCGGCAGCGACATCTTCCTCGGCCTCATCGCCATCCTCTTCCCACCCATCGCCGTGTGGGTGAAGCGGGGCATCTGCTCGGCAGACAGTCTGATCAACATCGCCCTCTGCTGTAAGACTCCACTCGCATCCACTTCGATTGTCCCCTACTGACAGTCCCACCAGGTCTCGCATACCTCCCCGGTCTCCTCCACGCCTGGTACATCATCTCCATCTCCCCCGACCCGACCTACGAGCAAGTCGCGCAACAGGACGCCGAGCGCGGCAATGTCACATACTACTACGTACAAACCACCGGCCAGCCACAATATGCTGCACCACAGCAAGGACAGCAAGGCTATGGAACAGTGAACGCCAGCACGCCGAATGCACAGTTCCCGCAACAGCAGACGAAGCCTCAGCCACGTCCTGCACCGGCTGATGTGCAGCCTCCGGCATCGACGTCGCAGGCAGGACCGAGTAATGGAACAGATGATGCTCCACCGCCATCGTATCAGCAGGCTACTGGGGATAATAAGATTCAAGGGCCATGAAGGACAGAAGGTAGAGGACGAGATCTGTATACGAAGAGATGTGGCGCAGTCATGGATATGGACATGGATATATGGAGTTTAAAGGGTTGTGCTTCGGGTATGGAGAGTTTTACTTGATCAGTAGAGCTCGTTCTACAGAATTACGGTTGTAAGTATGTATCGACAGGAAATGCGACAAGTTGTATGATCTTGTAGCTGTTGTCGTAAGACTTCGATTACACCGACTTCGATTCGTCATTTCGTAAATGATGGTAGTGGTAAGGATGGAGCGCATATTTCTGCGCCCATCATCGAGACATATGCATCAATTACTTCAGCGCCATTCGCCCGACTCCACATTTACGGAGTCCGAAAAGTATATGTAATGGTTGCGAGGAACTTCTTCGACAACAAAGGTGGCGTTCGATTCCCCTTACGAGTGGTGTAAGCGCAGCTATACTCTGCCCGCATAGCCCGCTCTGAGCTTAGCAAGCCTTGCCTCCCTCTCATCCCTCGCCGCAACCGAGAAAGAATGATTATAATGTCCTCCACTCTCGCACCAACGGTTAATCGCATCTCCATCATGATGGTCAAGACTGGCATGCAATTCCTCCAGCAACTCTCCTGCAGGCAGATGGTGCCACGCCCAACTTTGGTCAAGATACCGATATGCCACACCGTCCATGTAAACATTTCTCTCCCTTGCAAAGCCAGTGCAAAGCTTTGCAATTTCACTGACTAGCATGCCTTTCGAATTTGCTGCGAAGACGACTTCCTCCTCGTCGTCTACAACCCCGCCAACGTCGTCATCGATTAATGCACACGATGAGATTGAAGGTTGAGCGACCAGTTGCCTTCTCCATGAAGCTTTGATGTAAGTGCATCGAGCTTCGTAATCTGGGTCATTTTCTCTGATTTTACCGATCATTGGGTGGATCCAGATGCAGTAAGAATCGCCTTTCGTTCCGCAGTATGGGTTTTTGAGAGTAGAAAGCATCCATCTGCCCTCGCATCGACTTCGTTTGTAACAACGAGCGACTTGGAGTCGGATGCTGGAAATCGGTTCGAAGAAGAGTGCTTGTTGGAGTGATCTAGAACCGTCTACGACTGCTTGAAATTGCTTGCAAGTGCGTTGGATGTTGACGAGGATATCGCGTGGTGGAAGATCGAGGAAGATATGCTGGGCGAGTTCAAAGATGCTGAAGACTTTCTCGGCAGGGCTGAGAGGGATCTCGATCTGTCCAGTAGTCAGTCTGATCATCTTCTCCAAGACGAACAGAAAATGGCTCACGTACCTCGTTGCCTTCACCGTCCTTCCCATCGAGACTCTCGAAAGGATTGTCGGATTCCCAGCGCAGTTTCGTCTTCATGACAGTGATTGAGCGACAGATAGTGATGCTAGATCGGATGTGCAAACTTTATGGTTCGTGTGCAATTTTATGTACCAAATGTGTTTGCTGCGATTGCTAATCGTCATTGAGCGGCAAGGCAGTCGCAGTCCTTTGTCTAAGACCGTGAGTGCTCTCGCGATTTCGAATCATATCAGGCAGGATCTGGTGGGTTTGAAGTTTGTTGGAGAAGGAAGTGAGGTGCTCACTTGGAGGCTTCGCGGTGCTGCAGGAGCGAGGTTCTGGGCGCTATCGATGAGTCGTATCTACCTAAAATCGATCAACACTACATAGGGCGGGCGCTCGTCAAACATACGTGTACGCTTAAGGCTATTTATGTCGGCCTGCATGGAGTCGTGGTCGACAACGAAGGAAGCGGGGATACAAAGCGAAAAGAGAGAGTTTTGGAAGTGAATAGCAATCTCTGATTGTAACATGGTGAGCATCTGTCTAGCTTGAAGGTTTTGAGTCGTTGCGCTTCTGATAATGGACGCTAGCCTTTGGTAGGTGATCCTGTCCGGCTTATCTGAGGCCTAAGCTCGAAGAAGATGGTTGTGTTTGAGTCAGCTGCCATCGGATCTCTTACTCCTGTTGCTCTTCTTCTTCTCCTTCAGACGAGGTCGTGATCCGTTCACTGTCATCGTCTTCTGGTTCAGTAGCGGCTGAGCTCAGGGAAATAATGCCACGCTCGTTGACCTCGTACTCACCACTTGCCATGAGCTGTATAGCACGAATTTGCTGCTGTTGCGCTTTGACCGCTGGATCTGCACTTTCTGCCATGATCACCCCAGAAGTCCGTGGCGGATGCAACGCGTTGTTACCACCTGTTAGTGCATTGTCCCAGAAGCTTTGCTGCAACAGGTCATGGACCCAAGGGAAAGGCGTACTCCAATAGACATAGGTGTCAGCGAGCGGAGGGCCTCGGAACCTTGCTTGAATCCCCGGTGCAAGATTATTCATTCTGGTGAAGTTTGGATACTCTTCGCAACAGATCATGCCCAGGAAAGAGCTTGGTTCTTCATCGATAAAGTAGCAAGGCAGGTCATCCGCTACTCCGAACCGATTTAGAATACCACCGAATAGAAAGGTCTCTGGATCGAAGCCATTTTCCGAGGTTTGCGATCCTCCGACGAATATGCCGGTGCAGCGACATGTGTGCATGCTGTACACTGCCGCGTGGACCAGCTCGTGGACGAGAGTGGTGGCTAGAACTATCGTAGACCAAAGCATGGCGACAAAGTGTCCATCGTCTTCCGCTTCCATAATGTCATCGAGCCTGTCGACGTTGAGAAGAATGACACTACCCGGGCCGGGCAGCTGCCGAAATGTGACGAGGCTCTGTGGATCGCACAATGCGTCCACATTGCTCTTGTCCGGTGGACTAGGGATGATGCGAACACCAGTGGCAAGTTCATTCAACTTGGCGCGTGTCATCTGCTGCTCGACAATGGTTAGCGAAGCTTTTGGTTCGGGACAAATGTGCTTGAGTGTACCATTGTTACAGTTTACGACAGAGTCGCCTACCACGAGAATGGAATGGAAAAAGGGTAAAGCCTTTTCCAGCAGCAAGGATGCCAATCGACAGGCCGTGACAGGATATCGATATTCATCGTCCTTTGTTCCCTCAATTGTCTGGAAGAGCGGGTGGATTGGAAAAGTGAGATCCGGACCCCGTACATCGCTAGAGTTGAAATGCTCCATACGGTGAAACGAATCCTCTTCGTTGAACAGGACAACTCTTGAAAGTGTCGGATTCATGGCGTCGAGTCTGTTTTGGTGTACACGTTTGTGTTCGGGGTAACTGCTGTCCTGCAGCTAGTCGTTTTAAGTGTTGGCGAAGCGCGTGTCGAGTGCTTGTTATGCTTGTGCAATTGCTTCCGAGATTTGCGAGTCGAGTGTGAGGGAGATGAAGCGTCTGGCATGTATTCCGCAGCGGACGCTGGAGACCAGCTATAAGCAGATGCCTCCATAATCACATTGTCTGCTGGTCATGTCTCCGTGACATTTTTGACACACCCATATTGACCAACACGAAGACAAAGACGGATAATCGCATTGTTCCTTTCAGTGGACTGACGAGGCAGCACGTGAATTGTCACATAGGGACGAACGCCTTGTAACATAGAACTTTGTCCGTTATGGAAAAGGGTCGGTATCATGCGAAGGTGCGAAACTTCGAACTGAAGTTTGACGAGTACCACTCCTTCATACTCTGGTCGTATCAGAGCAAGAGATGGCTAAACCTTGCGCATATTGGCGCAGTGGCTCGTCTTGCATCATCTTTGACTGTGAAGCGGAGGTGAGATGGCACATCAACCAGTGATGCAGGGCTGCTCGCGTTAACCCCATCATCTCTGATATTGCCGACATGTATCCGACTTTTCGATGTCGACTGGACAGTTATTGCGATCAAAGAGTGTCGCCAGCTAAGAGTGCTATCAGTAGCGATTTGCGCCCGTTAGATAGCTTAGTAGTCTTGCCATGCTTTCGTCAGATCTCATGTTGTTCGGTATAGGGCCGCAGAAGCGTCTGGCCATGACGAATATAGGGGGTTCGTAGAGGTATATAGGCTGTTCAAAATTTTGCAGACGAATGCCCGGGCAATTTCGCGCGTTCCACTGCGCATGTGTAAAGTACTATGTATTCATGAAAATACATCTCGGACCCAGCCCCGTTTGTCTCGCGTTACAGCGGCAGCACTGACTGTCGCCCGGAAACGCTGGTCTTTGGAACAAGGCGGCGCTGATGGCGGCCGAGCACGTGAAATGAAGTCACGGCGTGGTATTGGAGTCTTTGGTGAGTATAGTAGCTGTTTCCGGGATCGATATCGCACTGTACAATGTGATGTGATGAGAATCAGAATAAAGACCGCGATACAAAGAAACGGAGGTTGGAGGCAAGCGCATCGGGCCGGCAATGCCAAGGATTAGAGGCTCGTGCGCAAGACAGAGAAAAAGCTTCCGATTCAGATCTCAGCTTTTGCACCAATTGTTTACCAACTTCACACGCATGTCGTGCGAGGACGCGACGCTACATCTCAGACGGCAGGTGCACATGTCGCAGCACCTCGTACTACGCAATGGTCTGCGCCCCATCATAAACGCGTGCATGGGTCCCAGTTGAGCTGCGAACCGGCACCAGAGATGGCATCCTCGCGTCACGTCGTGCTGGAGATCCAGAATGTGCAGGAGTTTGTACAGCATATTCTCAAGTCGCATGCTCCGCCATCGACTCTGATTATCTGCTCCTCCAAAGAAGAGTTCTTGACGGCTTTCAGAGAGCCACCGGCGACGACCTCGAGGAGCATGGATGGCCTTGACGACTGGCTGCAGATACCGACTCTCCGGCTCTTATCGACTTCACGCACGCTCAAATTGGCCTTCTGTCCAGATATAACGCATCTTCGCGCTTATCTGGCTGTCTACGGCGTCAACGTGGCGAAACGAGCTGGAGAGACGGACACTGCTTTGCGTCGACAAGATGCACAGCCTATCCTCGCCATTCTGAACCCTCTCGAGTTGCATCGACCGACTTCAGCGTTTTCTGCACAAGGGCTGAACAGGACCTTCGCTAACGCTGTCGAGGCGGCGCACAGCACGAACAGCAAGCTGATCCTAGCCGAATGGCAACCGCAGACCGAAGACCTCAGCAGTTCACATGGCCAGAGGCAACCGAGCCCATGGGACGAAGAACTTCCAATACTTAACATGACAACCAAGCGCTTAGGTGACCTATCAGTCGGCCGGACTGTCAAAGCTCGAACAGTTGCTCAGCGCTGGTGCACTTTCGAACAAATGCCGCAGCCTGTGCGCTACTGATTCTTGGTGAGTCTGCTATTCTCTCTTGCACTAACTTTCATGATGAGAACAACAGTTAAATTCACAGACCTGTTCCTAACAATCATGTGGAGCAATACGTTATTATTCCTGACTACGTCTATCATCACGCATTCGCTGAACATGTTCGTTGCTTGTACTCATGCTAACAAGCTCAAAGCAGATACCAGAAACATATGCACTTCAGCTTCCCTAATACAATTCGACAACCAGAATGTGAGTATTGGTCCCATCCTTTCGTCGCCCTTTCATGATGATACACCAGCTGGCACCAGTCTGAGAAAGACTTGTACTCTTTTTGCTGCGGACTAGCTTTGCACGAGACACGATCTCTATATCTGAACACGAAATCTTCTCTACCATTTATTGCAGCTTTCAATCACAAGAGTGGTCGCTGACTGTATAACAGGACTCGTGAACTCTGGAAATTGTAACATCGCAAGCAGAGTAGCTATGCACAGCAGTGTGTCGAACAGAAAAAGAGTCATTGGGTATCGTCAAAATATGTACAACCAGCAGCCTCTCTGCTTTGCGCTTCAATGTCCAGATGCAAATCATCATCATTCTCAGAGGTTCTGCTCCATCTCCGTGATGTACAGCCGAATATGGCTTTCCATCTTCATGTACTCCTCTCTCGCAGCCTGTACCTCGTGCTCGATCTGTTCTTTCAAGTCGGCCATCTAGAACACAGGTAAGTTAGCATCTCGGACTCCACCAAACACTCTATAGACAGATTCGAACTCACCTTCTTCTCCGTCTGCTCAATCCTCACCCTCCTCTTCTCCACCTGATCTCCTCGTTCCCTCCTCTCAGCTGTCAATTCTCTATGCGTCGCGCGCAAAGCCTCCATTTTCCCCTTCGCATTCTGCGCCCTTGTCTCCGCGTCTTTCCGCAGCTTCTCCGTTCGATCTTGCCATTGCTGTAATTGTTTCCGCAACATTTTCTCTTGCCTCTCCACTTCCCGCACATTGTTCGACTTCTCTGTCAACGCATCGCGATTCTTCGCCGCTGCACGTTGCTCCTCTTCCTCTTTCTGCAGCTCTTGATCTAGATCTGAGAGTAACCTCGTCAGAGATGAGATGTCGGTTTGGAGGAGGGAAAAGGTATCGCATGATGTCTGGAGTGCTCGGGAGCGTTTATCGAGGCGTGCGATCTCGTTTCGATCGCTTGCGAGGTTCGAGCTGAGGTCTCGGAGGGATTGTTCAAGGTGTGCGGGGGACTGTTCGGTGTAGGGACGAAGCTTCGCGGCTTCGGCGCGTGTTTGCATGACGGATGTAGTTTTGTCTTCGAGGAGAGATTTCAGGCGGGACTGTTCGCCTTTGACGCGCTCGAGCTTTTCGGTGACGCGTTCTTGGGCCTTCTTGAGCTCGAGGAGGCGGGTTTTGAGTTCTGTGGATCGTTGCTCTTTCTGCTGAAGCGCGGCTTCGACGTTTTTGCGGTTCTGTTGCATTTCTTGTAGCTGATCTTCCTTGTCTTGATTCGCATGGTATAACTGCTCGATGGTGTTCTTCGTGCGCTCGGAGCTGTTGTAATGCTCGTCTATCACGTTTGTCTGGCTTTCGCGGAATCGAATGAAGTTGATTATGTAGCTGAAAATCTTCACCAGGCGAGGATGTGTCGGTCGGTAGATGTCGCTGAAGGTGAAGTCTTTGATGCCGCACTCGAGAAGCAATTTGCGCATGACGATGAAGAAGCCCATTAATTCGCGCGTGTCTGCTGTGAAGATCCGCTCTGCGTCGTCGCCGCACATGTCTTCTGCTGCTGCGCGCATCGCGGGCGCAACGACTTCGCGCGTCGTGTTCGTGAGCAGTTCCGCGAACCATTCGAACACTTTCTGTATCTGCTGTGGATTGGGCTTCCTAAGGTCCTCCAGTGTGAAGTTGATTCCAATGTCGCTGATGCATCCTGCGATTTCCTTGTCGGGCTATACTCTCGTCAGTTCGCACTGCCCGGCACTGCTCTCGATTGTGTATGCGCATACCAGTGTCATGAATGCATCCTCATCCGGCTCTTTCTGCTTCTTCTGCTGGCTAGATACTGTTCTGCCGCCGGCCATGCTCATTCTAGGATTGTAGTCCATACTCGGCATCGTCTGCAGGTATGCGCTGCTGGGTGCGATGTTGTTGTGGTAGTGCTGTCGGAGGTGGTGCGCGTGTCGCAAAGCTGCTGTGTTGTTGATCCCGCGTCAACAAAAGATCGCGAGGGGTGATTGTCTTGGCGCTGGCCTCGTCCTTCCATTCAAACTCCGCTTTCTCAACATCATCATTGCATTGTTCTGTTGACACCTTGGAACATGGCGATATTCAGCGCCATGAATATGATCGAAGTGCTCAAATCGATGAGCTTCGAGCTGCTCAACAAGCAGCGAATGAGAAATTCTGGTTGAGCATGACAGCTCCAAATTGTGGTACAGCCAGGCCGTTTAACGTGCTTAGCAGAGACGTCAGGCCGCCATTGGCAAGACCCGGAGCCAGGAAACAACAAACCTTGCGTCCTATTGAGATGCCATCAAGTTGTGAATTGACCGGTGTTACTTGTAGTGTACTGGTCTGTACTGCTTCTCACAGAGCGTGAAGAGAGCGCACAAAGACAATGACTCCAAGATGACTCCAGTATATTCAGACAGCCAACTAGACGGCTACAACCAGAAAGGCAACAGTTTCAACACATACAAAATGCCTCACTCCCCTCCTCTCGCTGATCCGAGCATTCCGAGCACGCAGCCTTCGCATCTTCGATTGTCAATGCAGAAGGTCAACTCGCGCTCGAATGCCTGTCAAGGCAATGAGGACACCATTAGCGGGTCTGTTCCAATGTCCTCCGAAATGCTCGCATGTTCGATGGAGTAAAGCAACCAACGAGATCTTCTTTGGTCAGCTTGACTCTATCACAAGATTTCAATAGAGGAGCAGAGCAACCAGAGATGTCCACGAGGGGCTCAACTGATGCTGTCTGAGGCGCGTGCACTTTGAATACACAAAAGGTCGGGCTTGCTTGCTTTTCTTTCTTGCTTCCTGAGCTCTATTGTGCTAGTTGTTCAGGTACTTCGTCGCAGGATGAAGCTCACTACGATCTCGGCCGCACTGTCGGCCGTCTCCTTGGCCCATGGAGCAGAAGCCTGTGAGTCAATCACGAGTGCGACAGAGTACTCGACTGACTGTTCGCAGTGGAAAGATACCGTCGAGCACGACGTCAGCTACCTGACCTTCCTCTATCAGTGACGACGCCCCTTCCTTTGCCAGTGACCACAACCAGGACCACGTCTGGGAGTACCACTGCTGCTGGCACAACAACAACGAGGTATACCATCCAGCTTCAATCGTCAAAATGGTCATGGCTGACCCTTCTACTTTAGCGCTCAACAAGCAGGAGGTGTCCCAGTGATCACGATTGGCGGGGTGCCCAGTGTCGAGGTACCACCAGTCTCCTCATCTGGCTCTTCAAGTTCCTCCGCGCCAGCAGCAGGTGTCCCGGTGCTTACAATTGGGGGGCTTCCCAGTGTAGCAACGCCATCAGTCTCCATTCCTGGCACTTCTGCCGTATCTCAACCAGCAGCAGGCGTGCCAGTACTCACGATCGGCGCAGTGCCCAGCGTAGCGACTCCATCGATCTCCTTGCCTGGAGTGCCCAGCGTCGCAACACCTTCGGTCGCCCTACCCGCCTCGCTCAGCTCCGTACAGCTACCAGCAGGCGTCTCGGTAGTGACAGTTGGCGGAGTGCCAAGCGTGGCGGTACCATCGGTCTCCTTGCCTGTCTCCGGAGTGCCCAGCGTAGCGATTCCATCGGTCTCTTTGCCTGTCACCCCCAGCCTTCAGTCTGTCTCTGTGGTTGTCCTTTCAGGCGCCGCAACACAGTTCGCCAGTACGCAGACATTGGTTACTGGCGGGCAGGCATCGATGGTTACCATTCCGGTAGTATCGGTCCCTGCTGGAGCTGCTGCAGCGTCGACCACCGTCTCTACCGCAACAGTCACCGTTTTGACGGCTGGCAACAACGCTGGCAGCTCCAGCAGCGCTGCATCTAGCTCCGGCTCTGCCTCCCAGTCCAGCTCCGCATCGGGTTCTAACTCTGCATCCAGCGCAAGCTCTGCTGGCATCGCGGCAGTCAGTGCTAGTTCGGCCTCCGCAGCATCGACAACTTCTTCCGGCTCTCTCGCTGCCGTTGCGGCTAGCACTTCGGTCTCAACGATCAGGCAGACAGTCCAGGCTACTGTGACGGTGACTGAGAAGCTCCCTGGAGGCGGCCACACGACATATGGCAAGCCAACAACCTACGTGGTATCATCGGCGCATACATACCACGAAACGCATAGTGCATCGCCCTACGGCCATCACTCCTCAGGCTATGGCCATCATACTTCTTCCAGCAACCGTGATACCCACCACACTTGGCCAATAGAGTATGAGCCTCATCACCCTATAGCAACTCACAACACTTGGCCACCAGAGCATACTGAACCTAATCACTCTTCCTCATCTCACCACGAGCCTCAGCCAACTGAGGCGCCCGAGACCCCACCAGTCGAAGAGCCTGAGCAACCACCTGTGGAAGAACCTGAGCAACCGGCAGTAGAGCAGCCTGAAACTCCACCTGAGGAAAGCCAGCCTGGTGAGGGAAATCCTGCATCTCCTGGTATTGACGATCTTCTTCACCACAAACGTGATGCTGTTGCTCAATCCACACAATCTTGCCCAGCCCCTGGCTCTTATGATAGCCAAGGCCGCTATAGCTGTAACCCAGCTCATCAGTACCCAGCTGGTCAAATCTGCGACCTTGTGGATGGATGCTACTTTCTTCGACAGCCTGGTCCTGGCGTCTCTGCGACCGCATCTTCATACGGGTCGAGCTCGACTGGTTGTCCAGCTCCTGGCTCTCGCGACAGCCAAGGCCGCTACAGCTGCAACCCAGCCCATCAGTACCCAGCTGGCCAGATCTGTGATCTTGCAGATGGCTGCTACTTCCTTCGACAGCCAGGTCCTGGCGTCTCGGTGACGGCGACTTCATCTGGATCGAGCTCCACCGGCACGGCTGGCAGCAACCCACGATGTGACAATCTCTTCGATCAATGTCGCGGCGCACCAGATGCAAACCGTGCTTTCTGTGCATCGCAATACGCCGAATGCCTGGGATACAATCCATTCACGGAGAACGGAAGCAGCTCGACTTCTTCAAAGGCTACAGGTACGCAAGGCAATGGATATGGAGCAGCAACCACGACACAGGCCAAATCTAGCACTTCCAAGGCAAAGAGCTCTGCCCCAGGGTACGGGATTGTCCCGGTGTACGGAACTGCCCCAGTGTCATCAGGCTACGCACGACCAAGCTCGTCTGCTCCTCACTACGGACCGCCTGTGGTAACGTCCCAGACCTACAAAACCCAATCTGTACCATACCCAAGCGTTCAGAAGAACACGACTGCGCCGTCCTATCCAACAACGATGCAGACTTACCGCATGCCAAACACCACTGCACCGCCGCCGGTCATGACTTCTCCAGCCAAGAACCAGACAACTCCAGTGCAGACTTATCCAGTGCCGACCAATCCGGTGCAGACCTTGCCGCCTTCACCACCAAAGCCTTCGACTCCATACCCGAACGGCACAGTCACCCAGCCGGCGCCTACCTACCCCGCTCAGTCATCGGTCACACCTCCCGTTGAGACTCATCCAGTACAACCGCCTGTCGAGACTTATCCCGTGCAACCGCCTGTCGAGACCCACCCTGTGCAGCCGCCCGTCGAGACCCATCCAGTGCAACCACCCGTCCAGACTTACCCTCCAGCACCAAGTCAACCCCCTGTTGAAACCCATCCCGCGCAGCCCCCGCCCACGCAGCCAACGTATCCCGTCCAACCTCCGGCCTCTTCGCCGCCAACTTATGCACCACCGGCTCCGAGCACGACGTCATATACGGGCACTGCTAGCAAGAAGATGGCATCTTCACTAGCACTCGTGGCGGTTGTGTTTGCCTTCTTCTTCTAGACACACGTGGCCTTAATCGAGCGAAGGCGTCCGGAGTCAATAAGGCTATACCCTCATCAGTATGTATAACACCTCCTGGCCACTTCTCTATACTACATGACTGACTCTGTCTAGCAGATTCATCACATGACTAACCAGTCATTCTCTTGATCCATATAAGACAATAACTCTTAATACTAATCGCTACATACTTGGTTGAAATGACCCCGATCTTCGCTCCTTGATTAAAATGTGACGAGGAGAAGTGGGAGGAAAGTTGCTTGTAGACCTACATTCTTTGACAATATCATTGGTTGACTCGAGAGCTGCCCTCCTTTATAATCTCATTGGTTGATCATTGATGCTTTGCCTTATCTTTCCTTGCCCCTTCTGTGCTCGTCCATATCTCTCAGCAATGGCATGGAAGATACCCTGCCGCCATCATCATCATCAAGCAACGCCTTTGCATGTGTACACTGCGAAGATATGTATTGAAGCGACGAATCTGCACAGACGTATCTGAAGCGACCTCCTCTGAATCATATCTGCGGTGATTGGCCGGAGAGTACTCCGCCCCTGGTCGCCCATCAGAGGCTGACGCCGCTTAACGAAGGGCTCCCGCCGATATCGAGGCTTGGGGTCTCACGATAACCGCTTAAGCTGCATCTCTCCTCATCGTGGGCGATGCTGAGCTGCTCAGCATGCGTTCAACGAACACAACGACACGCCGTATACCCTCTGGCAGTGTGCACGACACCAGCAGCCCGTGATCCCGCAGGCGTGAAAACGGCAGCGACGACAAGCTCAGCTTAGCACCGCTGCGTACCATCCTTGGCGCAGCGTCGAGAGCAGCATCTCCAGCATCTCCGGGGAGAATGGTGAAGCACTGCTCAGCACTGCACAGGGAAGGCGAGTGAGCCGTTCGCGATCGATCAATGGAAGTGGCCACGACCGGAAACGTGCACCGTGCAGCAGGGGGCGTCCGACAATCCCATTCCTTTGGTTCAGCCGGTGACACATCGAATGCGACCTCTTCTGCCTCACCCGCGGCTGCGAATCGTACTGCTGCTGCCAATGTCTCGACCACGGCGGTGGCGCCGGGTGCATCGGCTCCCTCGAACAAGCCCAGACAGCGGCGACGGAAGAACAATCAGGTCGAAGATCCCGAGGACGCGTCCAAGAGACGATGTGTGAGCACGGCTTGCACGGCATGTCGGTGTGTAGCCTTTTCTGAATCATTCACTTACATGCCGAGACGCGGCAGAGCTTCATGCACATAGCCGAGAGCAGCACTGACAGAGCCCTGCGATTCTCAGGAAGCGAAAATCGAAATGTGACGGCAATCTCCCCGCCTGCGCGGCATGCTGTCAGGTTTACGGCACCGAATGTATCTACGATCCGAATTCCGACCATAGACGGAAAGGCGTGTACAAAAATGACCTGGACAACTTGAAGACGCGGAGCTCGACATTGCAGACACTGATCGAGGCGATATTGAACTACCCAGAAGATGAGGTTGCAGGCCTGGTGCGGGACATACGGACATGTGAGAGCTTGGACGTGGTAGCCGAGAAGATTGTTGCAAGAGAGAATGGCAAATTGGAAGAGGAAGAAGAGGATGAAGATGTATCTCCCACGCTGGGAAACGGGAAAGAGCCGACATCAATGTTCGAATCACATCTCTACGGCAAGATGGGAGACTTACGGCTAGACGAAGGCTCTGTACGGTACATCGGAGGGACTTCCAATCTGATCCACCTGGGACAAGAAGAAACACTCAACGATGGTACGGACGAGTATCTGCAGCAAGAGAATCCAGTCACGTCGTGGACGAATGTGACCAACGATCCTGAGCTGGTCTTACATCTGGTCAATATGTACTTCACCTGGCACTACACTTTCTTCACTACGCTTTCGAAACAACTCTTCTTCCGCGATTTCATGCTTGGCCGGCCTCCACCTTACGCGAGAAGGAAGACGCATTACTGTACATCGTTGCTGGTCAATGCTATCCTGGCGCTGGGGTGCCATTTCACATCGCATGCCGGTGCAAGAGATAACCCAGAGGACTCGGCGACTGCGGGCGACCACTTCTTTCGTGAGGCAAAGCGCTTGATTATGGAGAATGACGAGCATGAGAAGCCTCATCTGACTACTGTTCAAGCACTAGCTCTCATGTCCGTTCGGGAAGCTGGCTGTGGGAGGGAAGGTCGCGGTTGGGTGTACAGTGGCATGTCGTTCCGAATGGCCTGCGACATGGGTCTCAACCTGGATTCCAGCCAACTTACAGGCAACCGATATGTCAGCGGAGACGAGAACGAAGAAGATGTTCGAAGAGTGACATTCTGGGGCTGCTTCCTATTCGACAAGTGCTGGTCTAACTATCTCGGACGTCTACCACAGTTACCTGCTTCCATCGTGACGGTTTCGAAATACGAAGTCTTTCCGGATGAGGACTCCGCACCGTGGAGTCCGTACACTGATTCTGGATTTACGCAAGCTCACGCGCAGCCTTCACGGACCAGAGCTGTTGCGTTGCAGCTCACGAAGTTGTGCGAGATCAGTAATGATTTGATGAAATATTTCTACAATCCTACGGACATGGATAAGACGAAGGGCAAAGCGGCCGAACTCAAGAAGTTGTCAGATATCCATACGCGGTTGGAGGCATGGCGAAGAGATTTGCCCAAGGAGATGGAGCCGAAAGAAGGTGGACTTTCAAGCATGCTGGTCATGCAGTAAGTTTTCCGGAAGAGACGAGCTTCAGACCTGGAGTACTGACTTTTCACAGCATGTTCTTTCAACTGCTCTTCATCCACTTGTTTCGACCTTTCCTCAAGTACACGCATGCCACGTCACCACTTCCAGCCAACGTCAGCCCTCGAAAGCTCTGCACACAAGCAGCTGCCATGATCTCAAAACTCATGCGGCTGTATAAGCGATCTCATGGCTTGCGTCAGATCTGCAACATTGCTGTCTACATTGCGCACTCGGCTTGCACGATACATTTGCTCAATCTACCCGACAAGAATGCTAAGCGCGATATTGTACATGGCGTCAAGCATCTCGAAGAGATTGGTGAAGGCTGGCTGTGTGCTCGAAGGTCGCTCGCGATCATTGGTGTACTGGCAAGGAAGTGGAACGTCGAGCTGCCAGAAGAAGCCACGAGCGTTTTGACAAGAACAGACGCCAAGTTCGGTACTGTCATTGGTGAAGTGCACTCGCCTTCAAGTCAGACAAGCAGCTCAAGGCGCCGCCTTTCAGATGTATCAATGGCACCGCCAATGCTACCGCAAGACATTCAAGCCCAGGGATGGCAGCAACAAGGACCGACCACCAACGACGCCAGAGTGACACGACCACCGGCTGCTATAGGCGTATCTGCTGGCGCACAACAAAACAACAACAACATCAGTTATCAGCTTCCGCCTCAGGATGCCTACAGCATGCAGCCACAGCAACATCCTTCAAGTACAAATACGCCACAAGCCCCACGCGCCAGAAATTGGGCATCGGCAGTAAACACCGGCCGTAGCCCTAGCGACATGTTTGGCGGCGTTGAGCAGCTCATCCGAGACAGTCAAGACTGGGCATATCGAGATCAAGCTCAAATGGCCGCCGGCTTTGGCAACTGGAACCAACTCGACATCGACCCCACAGCATGGACACAGCAGACTCCAGTCACAACTCGGGCTGCAAATGCTCCAATGCACGTCCCGGTTGACATGCACAACGGCATTGTAGGCGGTCCCGTGCAGCAGCAACAGCAGCAGCAGCAGCAGCATATCATTCCCGGCACTGCTCCGCCGCCTGCTACGTCTTTACCTCTTACCACGACTACAGCCAGCTACCCACCTCACTCGACTTCGCCTCAATCCGTAGCCGCTGATCCGGGCATGGCGAACTGGTTGAGCTCAATGAATGCATACAATAGCATGGCGACGGCTTATGACGAGAATGAATGGTATCAGTGAGTTGCGATATACGAAAGACAACTACGGGAGGTTTCGGTGCTGTTCGTGTCTAGCATGTAGAGCGTGTTGGCCAGCAAGCGGAGTTTGACTTCTTCGCTGCGTGTACATGGATACCCGGCTTGAGTGGTAATGTTTATGAAGTTATGATTGATATATCGGTATACTCAAAATCAAGGATCGACAGACGATGCAATTGTCATTCCTCATCAATTAAGCCAATTCTCTGCACACTTTTTATTGTCATCCCTGTGTGGCTCGACTTCCATGTTGCTTCTCATATATTTTAGCCTTTTGGCCGAACGGAAGCTTCTGCCAAGCTTTTGGGAGAGTTTCCTGGGTCGTGGCGAAGTCATGACATCGAGAGACTTGCGACTTGCAGCGGATCTGATAATTGTGATTTTGACCTTCTTTTGCTGGCTTAGTGCCGCGATATTTGGATTCGCTGGACCACTACGCTACGATGAGATCCTCCACGCCGTTGATCCGTGTTCATTGCAAGATAGATCCATAAGAAGAAGTGCCTCATCGCGAAAACAAGAGCACAGTATCCCGGATTGTGACACAGCCGCGGATTGCAGGACCTCATCTGAAATCGGAGACATGTCTGATGAAAGCGGGCACAAAGCGGCAGCGGCTGCTGAGCGTCATGTATCGCGGCCGATGAATCCGAGAACGTCGCGAAGCACAAACTGACCACTTCTACTTGATAGAGAGCAATAGACCTTGCACGAATACGCGATAATCAGCGAAGAAGTCGTCAAAGAAGAAAAGAATATATGAATGATCTCGAAGCCAAGTACCGGAATTGCGAACTCGTGGGAATTGCAGCCAGTGCGGAGATTCAGGCTGTGGCGAGACAGGTCGCAGAGGAGAATAGGCGGCTTCGGGCATTGTTGGTGAAGCATGGTATTGCAGTAAGTGAAATTGATGGAGATGGAAGTGGAGCGGAGAAAGCCAGAGAACTAGAAGGTTTGGTGGGAAGGAGGAAAAGTTGTGGTGGCGAAGGCAGTAGAGACCCGACTCCGAATTTGGAGTCTTGCGAGAAGTCGCTGGAGGAAATGAGACAGCAGCATGGTCAGATGCCTGAAAGAGGAAGGAGATGGTCGAGGGAGAAGTTGGCGAACTTGAGGCCTTCTCCTGCTGCGGCTGGCACCAGCGAGCTGGGGTTGGCTACCGCGAGTGCCACTGTGGTCAGCCCGCTGGCTGAGAATCCCTATACACCTGATGCTGTAATCGCATATGCACAAGCACCGTCGCTCGAGACATACGATCAATACCCGGACCAAAGCCATGTAAGCGGCTTCGCTCAAGACTGGCCACATCCTCAGAACGTGGAGCAGTGGCCTCAAAGCACGGTCCGGGATCCTCAACACCGGTCATGTAGGGACCTCGCAGAGGCTATCAGATATGTTCGGCCGACGTTATCGCAGCAGGAATTGGAACAGCAGATGGGGTGTCAGCCTGGAATCGATTGCAAGGTACCGAACTATGAGGCTTTCGATCTTATGGACCGGCTTTCTGAGGATGCAAGGCGATGACCTGGATGCTGGGAAAGAGAATGTTCTGCTGAGTTCTGTGCACTTCCTACAGAAATGGATGCTTGCACTCAGCAAACAGGCAATTCTCGGCTTCTTTCTTCTTGCGACAGATATATTTCTGCTCTGCCACCTCGGAAAATTTCGGCTGTTTTGCATGAGCAGCATCTTTCATGGGGTCCAATCCATATGCCCATCCTAAGATTTCTGTCAGATGCAGAATGCATGTGAATTACGGTTCACATGTTCGAATGCTTGGGTTCCGCCGACCCCACACTTCATTCACCACTTTCGGCGCTAGCACTTATACCCACCTCTTCCCAACCTTATACTCTCTTCCTTTCTTCAACATACCAAGATACCAAGTCTGAATCTCTGTATTGGCAGACCACCAACAAACAGTCAACGCTACAGAAGACATCAAGAGCTACATATTTCTGCGACGGAACCACTCTCTACGTCACTCGGTCACAATCAACATGTCAACTACTACTGGAAGAACCTCCGTCGCCATCTCCCCGCGTACTGCCCTCCTCAAGGCATACGCTCATAACATCCGTGCTCGAGGACCAATCGCAAACCAGCTTACAGAAGAAATTGCCCAGATCGGCGAGGCGGCCTTCGAAGACTGGTACGAAGACCTCGAGGACTGGCTTGAGAACAACCCCGAGGAGCAGGGTGCGCCGACCATGAAGCTAGTTGGTGCATGGGCCGCTTTCAAGCGTGCCGCGGAGGGAGATGACAAGGCGAAGCAAACTGCGGAGAGTATTTGGGAGACGGGCAACAGACTGGTCGGTGGTTGGGTGGACTCGGTGGAGGCTTGGGTGGAGGCCAACCCGGGATTGGCACCTGCTTGAGAGAAAGGAACAACGCAGCAAGGATGGATGAGGCTCCGGTGTTGAGGAGAGGTTGAAGTTGAGGCCCCAGGATGCTTTCCTGCGACGTGACGGGAAGGATGCGGAAGATTTCAATCGATTGCCTTTGATTTCGCGAAGCCTTTGCAATAGATTTTCTTGTCCAAGGTCTTTGGAGAGATGAGGTGTCTGCATTGCGCTATTGTAAGATATCTGAGAAGTCTGGCGCTCGTTCGCAAAGATTCGCATCAAGCACCTCCTCATCGCTCTAGCGTGCGAGCTGAGCTTGCAACATTCTTGAGATCGCAGCCTTCCATTCTCCCATGCTCTTCAGTCCACCAGTACTCGATGATTTGGCATGGATTCAGTGACGCCTTTGTAATTTCTCCAACGAGCATTGTGATGGTATCAAAGGAAAATGCCCCTGTAAAGCCAACGCAACACATGCACTCTGGTATGATTAAGCTTTTCACATTCGGCTTTCGATTCAACAAAAGCATGGAAAGGAAATAGTCGACAATATGATCAATTCAGCCGTTGCAACACAGTTGTAAGAACTGAAACATAGGTCCCTTGGCAATCGATCGAGATCTCTTCAGACCGGCATAAGAGATCCCTGAAATTTGTTTTATGGTTGCGGGTGGCGCCTTTGCTGACTCTTTCCCCGGGTTTATGGACATGTACAGCGCGGGCTAAGCGCTAAAACCATGTTTGCTCAGCCGCCCAGAGCCTACATGGGCTGATTTGAGAAACCTTACTAGCGAGCTAGTAGTGCCTAGTGTTGTCCATGAGTGCATCATTAATAATAAACTGTGCTCGTCTGCTTCAGCATTCCTTCTCGTACTGGGGGCCATACGTACTGGGGGCCATACCCCGGCCAAATGGCTGACGAACAGCCTCTCTACCGCCCGCTGGACTTGGTGACTGGCGAGATTCGTTTGCTGACGATAAAGCTCCTGGATTCCAGCGATGATGCATTGGAGTCGCCTATACTTCGAGCAGAAATGCATCATGTCTCGTTGGACAAGACTGAGAAGAAATACTTTGCGCTGTCATACGCATCAGGCGACTCAACGCCATCGAAGGCCATTTGCGTGAACGGAAAAGAGATTCAGATTCGCGAGAACCTGTACGACTTCTTGATAAGATACCGCGAATGCATGACGGACCAGAGAGACGACCGTCCCATGTTCGACACAGTTGAGTTGTCCAAGTTCTACAAGACATTCATGCGAAAAGAGGACCTGTTAAAGAGTGAAATCAGTGAGCCAAGTTTCTCACCCAATATGGCCCTCTGGATCGATGCACTGTGCATCGATCAGAGCAATATCGATGAGCTCAATTACCATGTACCGAGGATAAAAGAGATCTATGAGAAGGCTTGGCACGTCATAATTTGGTTGGGAAACGCGACTGATACGAGCGATGAGGCGATGGTATTTCTGCAAAAGGCCCGGATGAAACTTGGCGAAGATCGCATCGTGAATATGTTCCAGGAGCCCGTGGGAGGTTCCAACTTCGCTGCTTGGTCCAATCCGATGCCTGATCTTGATCAGTGGAGGGCCGTTCAGAAACTGTTCGATCATCCATATTGGTCGCGGCTAGGAGCAGTGCAAGAACTAGCCTTCAGCATCCGACACGCCAGTGTCTGGTGCGGAAGGAGGCAAATGCATGCCCGTTCCATGGCCAAAGTACAGCGAGCACATTTTGGGGACGAATTCGAAGGCATAGTAGTGCGAGATCCCAAGTACGCCAGATGCGATTCAGCAAAGACTGTGCCGCCCTCTCTTGTGCGAGGTGGACCGGCGCCGATTAAAATCGGTGGCGATCTTTCGCGCAGGCCTCGTGACCTCGAGATTTTTGGTGCCAGGAGTTCCCGGGAGATAATGTGCATCAATCGTGCGAGAAAGACCAGCTTGCCGCATGATATGATTTATGCGCTGTATGGATGTATCGTACGGGAGCCCGGAGATGACTTGATCGTGGACTATGGTCGCAGCGTGTCTCAAGTGTACTGTGATTATATTGAGTACGAAGTCAAAACATCAAAGTCCTGGCAGATTTGGCAGCTGCTGACCGAGAAGAAGTCGAAGATTCCAGACCTGCCATCCTGGGCAGTGGACTGGACTGCAGAGGATTCCAGACATCAGATCATACCAATCAGGAGTACTGCCATGCCATTATCTTCCGATAATAAGCTACTTGACACTCGGAACTTTGCGACTATGAGGATACCTGTAACACTACTGCCGCCGTCACCAGATGCTATCAATGCTGGAGGTTCGACCACTGCACTCTGGCGCGTCTTGAGTCCAGGGAGGAGTATAGTTGTGTCAGGCTTCATGATTGGCAAAATTGATGTCGGTGGCGGACAAAACAAGTGCGTTCAAAGTCCCGATGATAAGAACGAGAAGTTCTGGAAAGAAATCGATGAAGTTGTTTCTCTGCTTCAAAAGAGCTCTCTCAGTGATGTCGGAAAAGTCCTTCGGATTGGAGCCTGCTTGTTACTGGATGACAGCATGATGCGGCACATTGCAGGGGATGGGAATCTCTCCAGATTCGTCGGCGATCAACTTGACGAAATTGCACTTGTAGTTCACTCTGCAAGCCCGATTTTCCACATGCACTACCGAGACGCTATCAATAGCATACTGCATCCTTCATTAAATGGAATCCCAGGTGACAGATCGCCAAGTGGTGCAGCATTGCAGATCATGGAAGATTTTATGCATAGGACTCTCATGCGGAGAGTCAAGCAGGTATTTTGGGATCGAACATGGATTAGGAACGCTCGATTTGATGCCCTTGGAGTCGCGCCTGCGGCAGCACTGCAGGGTGATCTCTTGTTCGTCCCGCGTGGATGTCCTTTCGTAATGGCCCTCCATCCGAAGGGTGACGGGACTTTCACTGTGGTTGGACCTTGCTGGTTGTACGGGTTCATGCATGGAGAAGCTGTCAAACTCAACGAGGAAGGCCGAATTGAGGAGAAAGACCTGGTGCTAATTTGAGTACGGAAAGAGTACAGGCCGGCTGTCTGCAGGATGATTCTTCTGCAGAGATGAGATCGACTTCAAAGGTACCGCAAGTGGCAACAAAATTGCTGCGGGACAAGTCCTGCTACATTCTTGTCTAGCTTGCCATTCTATGCTCGATATTGTGATGGTACAGTTTGCGTCCACGACATGTGATCTGGACTCGAGCGGATAAGAAGCAGCCTTGCTCAGTATTACATCCGCATCGCCATACTTTTTGGACCTGCGCTTCTGGCAGGCTCCTTTGGCTAAATGTCGATCCTAGGGCATACTCGGATCCATATTGGGCTGGCCGGAGGGACGTGCCTGATCAGGAAGGCGAACATCTTCAGGAGCGCGTTGAGAGTTGTGAAGATCGCGACCGGAATGGGATCGACTGGCGCTCTGCGTGATGCGCGAGGTTCGTAGCCTCAGTCTGTGAGTGGTTCCGAAACGTGGTCTGGTTTTGAAGCAGGACAGCCTGTTCCGGGCCTGAGAATTGCGTTTGAAACACAGCATTGACCAGTGCTTGCTCAACATCAGTGCCAGGGAATGAGCCATATGCCTTGGCTTCCGCGGCCGTGATGTGCGGTACACGTGCTCGTTGTCCGTTCATCGTCTCGGACGTTCCTCGACGTGGGCATCCAAGCGCCAAGATGTGGCACCATCCTCCACGACCAGCCTGTGCGTATGGAAGCTGATCTGCTTGTACCTGAGAGAGATGTCAGCGCATGTTCTCATTTCAACAAAGCAAGTCAAGCTCACATCGTTCTGGCCGCCGCACGAGCCTGAGCATGCCAAGGTCCTCCGCCTCCAGCTGCTGCGTCTTCTCGGCTACGCCAAAGACCTGAGATTATATGTCAGTCAGGTTCGTCTCAGCAGCATCGAATGTACTTACAAGTCGCCAGGTTTCGCAGCTCTCCATCACAGCTCCCGAACCAATACTTTAGTAGCCCTCCACTCGCACAAGCTTCTTGATGAGACATTTGATCAAGGAGTCCGAGTCTGTCACGATCGATGCCAGGCAGGAGAGTCGAACGGAAGATCACCGTGTAAAAGCTGAGTTCCTTCCACTCAAAACGCTCCTGTTTGCACAACTCTCGCAGCAGCGCAAAGACTTCTGACCAATTGAAAGATTCCAGATATGGTGCTGTGGCGTAATCTTCGCGGATTGGCTTGAGCGCTGTGAGCGCGAAGGCGAATAACCGGTACGGAGTTTCCAGGTCGTGGAGTGTGAGTTGGTTCGCGAAGTCGTCATATGGAGAGCTGATGAGGTGTGTTGCGTTTAGGTCAAGAGGTGTGAGTACGGGAGAGACTTGTGTGGTGCTGAGGAGGGTATCTTCTGCGATATCTGAGCCATTGCTGTCGTCGACGGCCTTGCTGACTGGACTGCGTGTTGGAGGACTCGACGCAGCACTGTTGACTGCGATAACTTCCACGTGAGAGAAGTCTTCTTTGTTGGTCGCTGCTGTCAATTGAGTATTGTCGGGGCCAATTGCTTGCACCAGGGTCGCCATTGGGACTAGGTTCTCTAGGTTAAGGGACTCGATCTTGCAATGCTTCGTATGGTCGTGATGGTACAAGATTCCTTTCTTGAGAGAACTGCTTGATAGTGTATTGTGAGAGGCATTGTGATTGAGAATCGAGTGGTTTTGTGCACTGCACGCACGTGTCGGTTTGGCCATGGCAGCCACCTCGCATGAACCGGAATCAGCCCTGACTGCCGGTTCTTCCGTTCCGGCAGTGGTATATAGAGCCAGCTCGTTCGCTACCTTCCATAGAATCAGACATCTTTATTATACCGACTTTGACACTTAATCGAATACCCT